TCACTGCACTGACAGCCAATCACTCTGCAGTGCACTTTGAGATGGGAAGCAAAGCCCTGAAAAATACATTGTACTTTTCTAAGTAACTGTAACAAGCTTGACACTCAAGACAGCCTTGAAATATCTTTAAGGGGACAAAAAAAAAACCCCAAATCCCAGGTTTTCCCTGTGCTCTCTTCTTAAATTGGGACAGCCCTTCCTCGCACAAGGAGCTCTCCCTGTGCATCCTAACACCCGAGATTATTTCATGTTGTTTACTGTTTGAACTCCGAACTAACTTCAAGTTCTTTCATGCAGCCAAGCAATTATTTAACCAATAATCAACATTTAACTGTGAATATTAAAATTAGCTCTCTTGAAGGAGACACAGTGTTCTTGCTCCCAGCATTAACAAGCCTGTGCGTTCAGCACTTTTTTTCCCCCCGCCGTTATCATGTGAGAGGCTATTTTTAATGTTTGCCTGAATGTATTTTGCATCTCCCTTTGATCCGGAGAGCAGTTTTGCGAGGCTCGCCCGCGGATCGCGCTCCCTCGGCGGCGGCGCGGGGCGCAGCTCTCCCGGCGCGGCGGCGGGAGCGGAGCCGGGCTGAGCCGGGCTGCACAGGGCAGGCACACGTGCCTGGAGCACATGGTGCTGCAGGCAGCCCGAGCCGCACGTGAGGCTCAATGTGAAGAGCAGCTCCCGGTGCCGGCCTGCCCGCGGTGCAGCCGGTCAGACCCACCCTCACGTGGGAGGCCAAAGGTCGGGAAATTCCCGCGGCCTCTGCGAGAGAAGGGGCTCCCGCAACACGCGGGGACGGCTTGTAAACAATGATTAAAGCTCAGGAGAGGATTCCACGCGCGGGCCGGCAGCTGGGAAGGCTGCCCTTCGCTGTGCTGGAGGAGGAGATCGCGTTAGGAGAGGCAGGCTGCAGTACGGAGTGCTGCGCACACCCTCAGGGGCTGCCCCGGCACCGCCTCACCCCTCAGAGCTGCGCGGAGCACGAGCAGGCCTCTCCCGGCCGGCTGCCGGGCCCAGCACACACACCAGCCCCAAAAAGCACCGAAACCCACCCAGCCCTGCCTGCCGGCAGTCACTGCAGCTCAGACCCCGCCAGAAGCCAGGGGTAATGGATACTGGGCTCTAGACAGAGTATCTGGACTGAGCAAATAAACCACAGCATTGCATCAAAATCTTTGGGGGGTGGGAGGTGTAAGTGCACTTCACATGGAACCAATTCTCAGCTTGTTGATTAATGTGCCTCTAATTTTACTTTTTCAAAGTGAAGACTTGCAGATATTGCACATAGGTATATTTCTGCAGTGGATCATAAAGCTTGTTTCTCTTTTTTTTTTTTTTTCCCTTTCCTTAAATAATCTTTGGCAAATAGTCTAAGGCACCCAGCCATGCAGGCAGCGCAGACAGAAAACCACCACAGACAACACAAAGAGGGAGCTCTCCCAAGAGCCCCCAACAGCCCTGTTCTTCTTTGGAGCAAGGCAGAAACAGCACCTGGTTATCACTGTGCCAGCAGCATCCCTGTGACACAGCCCACATCCAAGGCTTTTTGGTGGCAAACTGAAAATTCACATCTAAACCACAAAATCCCAAAAACCTTCTAGCTAGGATTCTCTACCAGATCTAGCTGATGCTTCTCTAATTCACACCTTTCAAACCTTTACACTGCCTGCCCCAACCACCTCCATCAGGGCTACATGAGGGGAAGTGCCAGGTGAAAAGCAACAACCAACTAGTTACCTGCAAAATATACACCCTCCCTTTACATACAAACAGCTAAAAATTACTCCAAATTTCCTGAAGGACTCTGCATTTAAATGGAGATTTACGTTCCACTGAAAGACTACATGAGGTGCGCAACATGAGGAACCACAAAAGTGTGTTTGCAGTAATGGGTTACTTTGAAAGCTTCATAAAAATCTTTTTCATAAAAAACCTTTTTCTGAGGAGACCACAGATTTCAACCAACCTACCAGCATCCAGTACCAACACAAAACAGAAGTTTTAAATGCATCTACACATGACAATGAATGTTGGTCTGCAATGCTAAAAATAAATCAAAATACTATTTTTATTAACAAAATCAGCACTGTGAGAGATAAATACATGGTTTCACTCTTGCAAGTCATTACCCTGTGTCCCTCACCAAAACAAAGCCAGAAATTTCTGTAGGTAGATTCCCTGAACAGAAATGTATGGGAAGCAGGTGGTCGCTTTGTTCTTTGCAGATGATAAACTGGTGAGCCTAAACATCTTTGCATTGACCAATATGAGCTGAAAATATAGAATCCTTTTTGTTGCCATTACATTTTTTAGCAGGGAGAAAGAAAATCAGTGAGGATTTTGGTACTGTCACGTCCACAGGCAGGGTCAGCACAGCTCTGCTGAGCCTGATGGCACCCAGGGAATGCTAGTGCAGATCTCCTGATCTCTTCCAGACGCAGCACAGAACACGTTTGGGCAGCACCACTCACTCCTACACACAGACGAGGCTTGTGCTGGAGCACACGCGCAAAATGAGATCTCCCCATGCTGCTCTGCCACGGAGCATCCCTGTCCCCAGTCACAGAGTCCCAGCCACGTGCAGGGGGAATGTCCCCACGCCGCGAGGGCACAGCCAGGCTGGCAGCTGTGACCACCTGCACGTGACCCCTGTGCCAGACCCCGCAGCCACTGAGACAGGGACAGCAGCAGCACAGCACTGGACCCTCGCTCTACCCCTCACACTCAAACAGGCTCTCTGCTGCACGGCAAAATTCAGAAAACACCACGGAAATGTCTTTAGAATTACTGTCACCTAAAACATACAGTTTTCCTGGAAGTAGTAGGATCACATGGAATTAATCTGTACTGAAATTGTATACTTCCTACGACTTGTTCTTTGCTTTGTTACAGTAACACAAATCACAGCACTATGCATACTGGAAGGATAGCTCACACCAACTAAAAACCTTTAAGTGACATTAAAAAAAAATCTATTTAAAATGTTTTAAGACATATTAAGCAACAGGCTCCATTACAATGATATCAACATTTACCTCCCTATTTCAAAGCAGCACATTTACTTTGGCCCTTTTATGATAACTCTTAAATGCTCATTTTTACTTTTACTGATTTTTTTTAAAGATACGCTCCTATATTCTCTAACTTGCTCAAATGCTAAACTGTGAGATGGTCTTCTCTTCAGTACTGATTGTCAAAGAAAGATTTTCACATGACAGCACATAAAAATTTCAACAACCTGATGATAAACTACTGTTAATTAAGCCACATTCCTATCTGTAATGGGGGACAAGAAAATATTATTTAAGAAGTGAAGTGAGCACCCTTAAAAAAAAAACCACACAACATTTAACAAAAACTATTCCTGTTAAGGCAAGATGGTGTTGGGAAAAATACCAGCAAATTAAATGTTTTATCCTACCCCCAAGAGACGCCCTTTACAACAGTAAAAAAGTGCACTGCGAGATAAATTTGTAACCCCGAGCTGCAAAAGGCTCAGGATAAACTGAAAAAAATCAATGAGTTGAAAAGTCACACAGATAGCTGATTACAAATAAATTCTGACAGGTGATCATTAAAAGCCTGGCTCACTACTAGGCTCCTCTGAAAAAAAGAGAGAATAGGGACAGATTATCTGCTTTTAATTTTGTGTGTGCACAAGCGACAGAAAACAATGTAGCACATATGCACTATTTTTAAAGCTGGCTCAGAAAAGGCAATGGGTTTCATGTTCTGCTCTTGCCTACTCCAAATATATTTTAACTTTGGACACCCTTATAAGTTATTAGTTAACCATGAAAAGCCTTGAAACTGAAACACAAAGCAAAGTCAAATCCACACAAAGTAAAAGTACGTAAATGAAATCCATGACTAAACACACAGTTCTGATGGAGGGCCAAGGAGTATGTTGACAGGTTTGGGGAGTTTTGGGGGATATTTTATTTCTTTTTAACAAGACAGCAATGTCGCAAACTTGTAAGACATTTCTATTTCATCCTGCTCCACAACTTTTGCCCCTTTATTTATTTATTTTGCCTCCTTATCAGATGATTCTGACAATGACTTCGCACACTGAGCATGGCAAACGATCAAGCAGAAGGGAGAGGAGTGGTTTCCTGCTGCCAAGAGCACACTTTGCTCTAGCACACCTAATGTGAGCAGAAGAGCACAATAAATAAGTCACTCTCTGTATTTTTTTTTTAAGGAAAAAGGCAAAGCTCCATGTTTCCCAAACTTCGATGTTGACACTCTTCCACTGCCCATGATCTCAGCCATGCTGGTGTCAAGCCAGAGGAGTTACTCTGGATTCGAACTGGTGTCTCTAAAGGGATGATCTCAAGTGCTAATAAAATAATAAAAGACTTCCACTGACATCAGTCGGGCTGGAATTGTGCATTACAACCAGGCCTTGGACTCCACGGTGTTTTCTTAAGCGTAAGGTGACTACAGATGCAAGCTATGAACTCAGGTCAGAGTTACACTCAGTTTATGCCAATTTAAGCAAGATTATAATGTTGTTCCAAAACTCAGTTCCTGTGGCAAATTTTACTTTGCTCAGTAGAGAGCAAGATTATGGCCAAAATTTCAAGTAAGAAGCATTAACCTTTAACTCCAGAATGACTGCCCACTCCTGTGTTCGCACATCAAATATTGGCTGAAGGAACATTCTCTTTCACAGTCCTTTTCCCTGCTCTTTTAACACTGTGGCATCTATGCCATTCTGTCTATGGTCTTTTTACTTGCTAACAGCTAAGACACCAACTAAGATAGGCAAGTCTCCATGGAATTCCCAGAGCTTTCCTTCAATAATTTACACAGAAATCCTGGTGGAGCAGCTTAGTGATAGCTGGAGCTATTGTTTTTATTTGCTGGAGTGTGAGTGACAGGAATCCTCTGGGCTCTAAGCTGCCTGCCAGCTGCAGAGGGAGAAGCAGTGATTTACAGTGGGGAGGAGGGGTTCATGCCAAATTCCACAGGGAGGTTCTGAGGGCTGATTTACCTGGTCTAACTGGGCTCTGCATGCAGTTCTGCGACACCATGCCTGGATGGACTGAAGTAGAAGCCCTGCTGCTGAGGTCCATGACAGAAGGTGATGCTGAGGTAGCTTGCTGGAGACCTGACTGGTGTGGGCTAGGCTCGTGCTGGTTTGGGCTAGGTGGAATGCCATTTTCTGAGAGGAATTCTTCCAGGTCCATGTATTCCAACTGGAAAGTGTCTCCATCATATGGCAGTGTCTTGTCCCATAATGTTGGACCCAAGAAAGCTGACTGAGGGACTGTGGTACCAGTGCTGTCATCATCTAACTTCTTCTCTTTGTCTTTTTCTTTACCGAATGCTTAAACAAAAACACATAACAAACATGTAAGAATTCAGTAATTAAAACATTTACTACTACTTCCATTATTCTGCTGTACTCTCAGGTGTAAGAAAGGAATATTCCCTTCAAAAAATAACTCCTTTGACTCACTCTACTTAGAAGAGAATTGATGGGTCATGTCACTGAGCACCTTTGTGGGAACCAACCACATTTTTGAGACTGCCCTTTGTTTTTAGTTAACAGTTCCACTCCATACACAGTTTTGAATGTTAGCATCTAAAGGTACTCAACAAACTTAAAAGTGAATATTTAAGTATTCTAGCAAACCAGAAGCTATTGATATATTCTCTTGAAAAGGAGCAGTCTTAGCCTGAAATCCCTGGGATCCTGTCATTCTTCTAAACTAAAGTCCCAGTCTTGCTGGCACAAGCAAATAGTCCTCAAATTCTGCACTTCTGAATGTTACTAAAATGCAGTGGCAAAGGCTGCCAGAACACAAGAGACAAAATATTCAAAGGTAGAAGCAAAAAAAAAAAAAAAGCTTAACTGAGGCTTCCTCATTTCTACAGCCCCCAGTGATTTCAATGCACGTTTTGTAAGGGAAACGCCTGATTTCTCTGCAAGATCTGCAAGAATCTGAACTCCTAAAGCTTCCTGTCAGCCACCAAGCCTTCGCAGCATTTTATTTTTAACCTCATACAACAGCCCCGGTGAAATCCTGCGAGTGGCTTGGCAGTGGAACTCGGGAAGGCGAGGAGAGGAACTGCGAGACCTTCCCTCGGTCTCTGCTTTTCGTGCGCGCTCGATGCGTTCGCCATACGCGATGCGGGTATTCCGAGCTGCCTCCGCCTCCCGGGGAAGCCGCAACTTTCTCCCGATGAAGCGGGGGCCGCGGGGCCGGGAGCGGTTTGTTGTGGGGCCTGGGATGGGCATCCCGGCCCCCTTTACCCGAGGCGCCCTTGGCGTCCATGCACCGGGACCGGAGATGGGAGCACCGAGCGCGTCCCGTTAGATGGAGCCGCGGCGGCCACCCTTCCCATAGAGCGCCCCGAGAGAGCCGTCCCGGGGCTCCACCGCCGGGAGAGCGCCCGGGGGGGCGCAGGGGGAAGGGAAAGGGAAAGCCGTGCCGCAGCCCCGAGTGACAGCGGGACCGGGGCGCACTGCGAGGGGTCCCGGGGAAGCCTCACCGTCTTCGTGAGCGAGCGGCAGCTTGAGCGGGTTTTCCAGCAGGGACTTCAGCACGCCGTAGGTGGGCGGCAGGAATGGGGGGTTCAGCGGGAGCGGCCGCGACATGATCGGTGGGGGCTGCCCGCGGCGGCGGGGAGGGGGCAGCTGCGCGGCGAGCGGTTCCTTTCCCCTCGCTGTAGCCGCTGTCGCGGCAAGGGTGAGCCGAGCGTGGGGCCGGGCCGAGCGCCGGTGGCCAAGGGCGCTGGGGCCGCGGGACAGGGCGCGGACCGGGCGCTGGTCAGGCCCCTCCGCCGCGCAGCTGCTCCGCCGCCGCCGCCGCTGACGTCACGCCCGAGAGCGGCCCCGCCATTGGTGCGCCCGCCACGCCCCTCCCCGGTACCGGCCACGCCCCGCACGCGCCCCGCCCCGGCACGCGCGCGGACGGTAGCGGGGGGGGCAGCCCGGGACAGCCGCCCCCAGCCCCCCCTCGCGGGCCGCAGCGCCTCCCCGGGAACCGGAGGAATGTGTTAATGAGATGCTAATGAGCCTGAACGTTTGACCCCGCTCGGGGCAGCCGAGCGTGGCCGCTCCCCCGGGCAGCGGGAGCCGGCGTTGCCGCGGTGAGGGATCCGGGCTGCGGGGGATCCCACCCGTGTCTGAGGAAGCCAGCCGTGGGCTCTGCGAGCGCTCGCCCTGCCTCTGTGCCAGATGGCAGCCTGGGGTCACGGCACCGTCACCAGCACGGGCAGGGCTCTCATCATCTCACAGTCCTGCGGCCTGGAAGGGACCTCTGGGGATCACCCCGTCCCCTCCCTGCCCAGGCAGGATCACCCGGGGCAGGTGGCACAGGAGCATGGCCAGGTGGGTTTGGAACATCTCCAGAAAGGGACACTCCACAGCCTCCCTGAGCAGCTGTACCAGGGCTCTGCCTCCCTCCACGGAACGAAGCTTTTCCTCACATTGAGGTGGAACATTTTGTGGTTTAATTTGTGGCCATTTTTCCTCATCCTGTCACTGGACGCCACCAAGAAGAGTCTGGACCTATCCTCCTGGCACCTGCCTTGGAGATACTTCATTGATGGGATCCCCTCTCAGTCTTCTCTTCTCCACAGCAGAGGCCCAGCTCCCTTCCAGGCTCTTCTTGTAAGAGATGCTCCAGACCCCAAATCATCCTTGTGGCCTCTCCCTTGTCCTGAGCAACCCAGGATGAGACACGATACTGCAGATGTGCCTCATCAGGTTCGAGTAGAGGGAGAGGTCACGCTCTTCCTAATGCACCCCAGGATCCCACTGCCCTCCTGGCCCCCAGGGCACATTGCCAGCTCATGTTAACTTCTCATCCACTGAGACTCCCAGGCCCCATCTTTGCTCAAATGGGACTTTCCTCCCCACTCACCATGATCCTCATTCAGGCATGGTTGACTTTCCATCTGCTCTGGCCTTCAGCCCATGCAGGCTGTGCAAGAACCGCATTGGTCCCAGAGTAACTTCACCCTTCAGGTGCCTGTGGGCATCCGTATCTCCCTTATTCTCATTTGGGTTTTCTTTTGGATCGCATTTTGCAAAGTTTTACCATCTGTGTTTATTTGTGACTCTTTCTTCAAAAGTCAGCTTTTAACCATCAACAAATACAAATAATCGTAAATATTCACTAGAAGCAAATAAAGATAAGTTATGTGCCTAAACTGCCCAGTATTTAGAAATATAAGCTGCCTGAGGAACAGTTATGTTCTGCCCTTGTGTATCTGCTGTATGTATTACATGACCAGGAACAGGACTCAGATAAGTTATGTGCCTAAACTGCCCAGTATTTAGAAATATAAGCTGCCTGAGGAACAGTTATGTTCTGCCCTTGTGTATCTACTGTACCTGTTACATGTGTGAATGGAATGGCTGGAGCTGTGTCAGGGAGGGTTAGGCTGGATATCAGGAAAAGATTCTTCCCAGAGGGTGCTGCCCAGGCTGCCCAGGGAGCTGGCACGGCCCCAAGGCTGCCAGAGCTCCAGGAGCCTTTGGACAATTCTCTCAGGGTGGGATTGTTGGGGTGTCTGTGCAGAGCCAGGGGCTGGACTCAATTATCCTTGTCAGTCCCTTCCAACTCAGGATATTCTGTAATTCTATCATCTATTATTTGGTGTCTTGTTAAATGAACTGCCTAAAACAAGCAACTGATGAAAGTCCAAAGTACGCTCAAATCAATAAAACTGCACTGGCACAACCAAAAACGTGAAGACTGAGGATTGTGGCCATCAGAACCAGACAAGTGACAGGAACAGACTCGGGGCACGGCTGAGCAGGGCTTGGGAGAACCTTGGGATGCCACAGATGCCACATGGTTCACAACTGGAGCAGGGGTGTGATAGCAGCACACAGGAGTTGTTAAGTGTCACCTGAGCAGGGAAAAAAGCCATGGATTATTAAATGACTGTACACATACCAACGTTGCCTCAGACGGCCAAATTGCCGGTTAGTGGAAACCTTTAATTACAGAGGCACAGATGAGTGACACAAAGATTAGGGTGATTGCCAATCCATATGCAGATGTGGTACGGAATGTTTCTTCTATGCTGTCTAAAGAAAAATAGATGCATTTGGGAGGCACGATAAGCAGCAAAGAGTAAATAGAACAGAAGATGTAAAAGTAATGGGGATACTGGGAAACACCAGTAACAAGATTAGTTTCTGGTGGAAGCTCAACTTGAGCACAACTACTTGTGTTTTTATGACTATTGACCCAACTCAGCAGAAAGAAACAGCATTTTCAACAGCACAGAAGCACAGGAAACCTGCACTGCTTCCCTGCTTGACGTGGAATGGAGTAAATTATAGGTAGATCGGTGCAAGTGTGGAACAAAAGGAAGCCTCTCAGAGCACCACTGCGTGTAGTTACAGACCCTGCATTCCCAACACACAGGAGCCGGGAATTTCTGCAGGTGAAAGCCAAAATAACTCTTCCTGATTTATACACCAGCCAGCGAAGCTGGGCAGAGCACCTGAGCAGGGTGCTGGAGCTGTTATTTTCGGTCTCACACAACAGGAACAGTAATTTAACTCCAGCCATGCTACACAGGCAGATTTCATCCCAATTAACCTAAATTCCAGGCTGTCAGGACACCATGTTGTTGTCTGTACATACAAATTACTGATTTTTTACTTGCTACACTTTTCCAAAAGTGGCCCCTAATTCCTTTTTCGCTATTTTGACCACTGGCTGACCCCACATGGTGCACGCCAGGTAAAGCCAACCAAGACAAAACAGAGCTAATGATACCCTACCTGAATTTCTCCATTTCCCAATTGCAATACAATTTCTGGCATGTGTTCTTAGCTTAGCATTCACCCATAAAATGTCTGTTTTGTGGCTTATGAAAGACTATTCTGCTGCTTTGTATTGAAAATATCTTGATGGGTGCCCTATTAAAAAAAAATTATCTCAACCAATATTTATATTTCTGCTCATGGTTGTTTCAATCACTGGGATCAGTTATATGAAAAATCCGATTCTTTTCAAACCAAGTTCTTTTAACCAGTGGTTAATGTACCGTAAAAAAAAAAAAAAAAAAAAAATTTAGGGTGATTATTCTTTTCAGGGGTCCTTCTATCAAGGTGCACATGGTGATCATGTTAAATTTCCAAAAAAAAAAAAAAAAAAAAAAAAAAAGAAAAAAAGAAAGAAAAAAAAAGAAAAAATTTAGTGTGATTATACTTTTCAGGGGTCCTTCTACCAAGGTGCACATGGTGATCACCTCCCTGAACCATCCCACATGGGGTCCCCGCGCCCTCACGGACATCGATGGCTGCTGCGGGCCGGGGTCGGGGGCTGCTCAGCCGGAGCCCCACGGGGAGAGGCCGGTCTGGACCACGGGGCGGCCACCGGGGGGGCCCGGGCACCCCGACACCTGCAGAGCGCTGGCCGCGGTGCCGATGTGTCCGTGAGGGCAGCACAGGGAAGGGGACAGCGGCAAGGACAAGGACACGACCCCGCTCCCCTCACGGCGCCCCCCGGCCCCGCCCGCCTGGTCACGCGGCGCGGGGGGCAGCGCGCGGGGCCGTCACGTGAGCGCGCGCGCGCGCGCGGGCCGTGACCTACTTCGGGGCAGCGGCGGGCGCGCGCACAGCCCCCTCAGCGCGCCCCCCCCCCCCAACCGCGGCCAAACGGGGGTGTCCGTGTGGGAAAAGAGGGTTTCCCGGTGGGAATAGGGGTGTCCGTGTGGGAAAAGGGGTGTCCCGGTGGGAAAAGGGTGTGTCTGTATGGGAAAAGGGGGTGTCCGTGTGGGAAAAGGGGGTCCGTGTGAAAAAAGGGTGTCCGTGTGGGAAAAGGGGTGTCGGTGTGGGAAAAGGGGGTGTCCGTGTGGGAAAAGCGGGTTTCCCGGTGGGAAAAGGGGGTGTCCGTGTGAGAAAAGGGGGTCTGTGTGAAAAAAGGGTGTCCGTGTGGAAAAGGGGGTCTGTATGGGAAAAGGAGGTGTCCGTGTGGGAAAAGGGGTGTCCGTGTGTGACAAGGGATAAAAGTGGGGCTGGAAGACAATGCAGTAATCATGGCTCAGCAGAATTATGGTCACTGATAGATGGAGAGACACCCACTCCCATGCTGGGAGACAGGCATTGTACAGTCAAGCTTGAGATCTAGAACTCTGTGTGTATTTAAATATACACTGTTCTGAAGAATTCAGGCTTTTCTGTCTCAGGGTGAAATGGGAGCCAGTACTGTATGTGCAGTGAGAGATCTCTCAAATCTGAGATCAAAGCTTCTGGTCAGGTATCTGTATGGTCACAGCTGAGCTGCTACTGTCACTTCATTCCTCTGTTAGATATGTTCTGTCTGGAGAAAAGAGTAGCAAAAGTAGGCGGGCAGAGAACAAGCTGCAAGATGGAGAGGATAAATAATGCAGAACAAGTGTTCGGGTCAAGGCACAGGACAGACTGAAAAAGCAAATGGTTCACAGTACCTTAAACACCCACTGGTTCATCCACTGGGTGGATCTCCACTTCAGCCCTCTGGGAGCCAAAACAATGGATGAAAGGATTGAGTGAGATGCTCAGGAAAAACCCCAAAACCAACAGAAAACAAACCAAACGACAACAACAACACAAAAACCAAACCAAAAAACCACAAAACAAAACAAAAATTAAAAAAAACCCCAGAACCAAAACCACCCAAAACAAAACAAACAAAACCAAAACACCCCAAAAATCAACCCCCAAAAACACTAAACAGGAGAGGATTGGGAAAGGGTCACAATTCAGCCTTTGTTTCAGTTGTGATTTGTCCCAAAGCAGTGCGAGTTCCCAGGCTGGCCTCGCAGGGCAGTGCATTTCCAGCTGCGTGACGCAGAACATGGAGGACCATG